CCGCGCCCCCTGCGTCTTTTCCGGGGCCTTTTTCCATCGGCTCCCGGCACGCACCGCCGTCGGCTCTTCCTAGGAGGAGCTGCAGGGCAAGCGCTCGAGAAATAGTATTTGCAACACATGGATACTCATTAGAAAGTTTTGTTGCAAAGTGGAGCAAACCGTAACTTTTCTTCCCCCCCCCTTAAAGGTTTATATATAGAATTTATTTATTTTCAACTTGTGTTGTTGCTAAATGCAAACAAAACCCTCTTGTAGGTCAGGAATAGAAACAACACAACTTTGTTTCAATTCCTCCCCTGGTGGTAAACAGGGGGGAAAAATAGCTGATTTTCTTTTCAGGGTTGAGTTTACACCATTTCAAAGGCCTGCCTTTTTCGGTGGGCTTGGCTCTTCTGGGGAAGGTGGGGAGGAGGCGAGCCCCTCTCAGAAGGGCAGGGAAGGGGAGATTGTAGAAGGAAGCCGCTTCCCTCTGTGCTTGGAAAAGTCCCAAAGTCATTAAAAAAAAGGTGGGGATCTTCCCAGAGTCGGCTTCTCCTGCAGACCATCTGGCCATCTTGGCCCCCACCCATCTTTCTCTCTCCTCTTTCCAAAACCCTGCAGAAAACCAAAGAAAACCCGTAGAAAACCGTGGAGAAAAGAGAATCCAAGAGCTGGTCTGTCTCCCTGGCTGAAAATTGAGTTTAGGCTCAAACTTAAAAGGTGGGGGGAGAAAAGACTGGAGAGGAGCAGAAAAAACAGGACCGGGGTTTTACTCTCTGTTCCCACCCAGTTCTCCGTACAGCGTTCAGAGGCTGCAGCATGAACGACAATCAACCACCAAGAGGGAACTCAAGCGTCCTGTTCGGGGGACAGAACAGGAGAAGACATAAATGTCATCAGGGAGTCCATCTAGGAGAAGGAAAACTCCGATTTCAAACCTCCACTGCCTTGTGGCTCTATCCACTCATGGAAAAGGCTTCAGGAGATAACCTAAAGCAAAATCCGGAGCTGGAGTCCCGAAGGCAGTTCATGTCGTTCTGCCAACTCCTGCGACGTCGCTGGAACCAGTTGTATTGGCTCTTGCCTTTCCTTGGGACTATTTCAGTGACATGGAGAGGGGGGATCTGCTGGTTGGGTAACAGCCTATCCTCCATATTACTTTACCCAGGCTTCGTGCTCTGGAGAGGACACTTCTCGATTCAGAGCCTGTTACCATAGTCTCTCGAGACTGAAGGATGCCTATGATGAGTCCATCTCATAGAATCCTAGAATGATGGAGTTGGGACCTCAGAGGCCATCTAGTCCCACCCCCTGCTCAAGGCAAGAATCCCAATCCAAGCAGATGGGACAGAGGGTTGACCCATTTTCTTTCGAAGGCCTCCTGCGTTGGAGCGCTCCCCTCCCCCTCCCCGAGGTCATGGACAGAGGGTTGACCCATTTTCTTTCGAAGACCTCCTGCGTCGGAGCACTCCCCTCCCCCTCCCCGAGGTCATGGGTTCCATCGTCGTACTGCTCTTAACAGTTCAGAAGCTTTTTCCTGATAATTCAGCCGAAATCTGGCTTCCTGTCACTTGAGCCCATTATGACGTGTCCTGCACTCTGGGAGGATCGAGAACAGATCCTGCCCCTCCTCTGGATGACGGCCTTTCAAGTCTTTGCAAAGTGCTCTCCCATCTCCCTTTGGTCTTCTTTTCTCAAGGCTAAACAGAAGCTGCAGGTCTTTCTTTTCCGCCCAGGGCTTGGTTTCCAACCCCCTCATCATCCTCGTTGCCCTCCGTTGAGCTTGCTCCAGTTGGTCGGCCTCCTTCTTAAAGTGTGGCGCCCTGGACTGCTCCTGAGTCGCTACAGTCACTTCCAGATTTTGATAGACCCATCCAGCAATTACTGCCTCTGTCATGCAATTTCAGTTCCTCATTTGACTTCTTCTTCCAAGAAAACCGGGGCGGGTGGGGGAGAGAGAATAAAGTTATGGTTGTTGTGTCCTGTTGAGTCACCATGACTTATGCTTCTGAAAGAGGATAACAAGCAAGCAACAAAACAAGGACTTTCATAGTATTTTTCAAAAACACAATTTTTCTCTTGCATGAGCTTCCACGGACGGCGGCCACCCATATCTTCAGGTGGGAGAAGAACAGAAGCGTGGCAACCCCACGGAGCCAACAGGCCAGTTAATGTCTGGAATTCAATCCCCCCGATGACACCCATGCTCTTTAGTCCTCCTGCGCTGTCTGAATGGGCAGCTCACACTTTTCTTTCTGGTGACCTACAACCGAGCGGCATGCAGGATGCCCGGAAAGTTGGAGCTCCTTGGTGGCTACCCCAAAGGTCCTCGGGAATGTAAGTGATGGAATGGGTGGCTCTTACTTATTTTTATTTTTAAAATTATCCCAGAAAGAAGAGCTTCACGGAGGCAGGGGAGATAAGACAAGGAATTTGGGGTGTGAATTCCAGGGAAATAAAAGACCCAATATGAGATGGACCGAGTCCCGAAAGGAAGCCAGAGGTTTGCGTTCAGTTGTTCACCTTGAAGGTCACCTTCAAACAGGGCACTTGAAGGACAGAACATTTTGGAGATGGCTCAGGCCTAGGGTCAGCATAAGTGCCGGCATGGCTGGTGGCGACACGAGAGGCGCCAGGGCCAGCCTTCTCCGTGGCAGCTCCTGCGTTCTGGCAGGCTCTCCCTCGGGAGGTCGGGCTGTTCCCCTACTCTTTCATCTCCTTCTTTCGCCGACACCTGAAGACCCACCTTTTCCTCGGGAGGTCGGGCTGTTCCCCTTCTCTTTCCTCTCCTTTCGCTGACACCTGAAGACCCACCTTTTCTGGCAGGACTTTAACACTCAAGACCGAGCCCCTGAATGCCTTTTTAAAGTTAAGAGAGTTTTTTTAAAATGTTTATTTGCTTTTAACTATTCCGCTGTATTTTAATTAGGGTACAGTTTAGTTGTCTTTTAAATGTGTAGCTTAGTACATTTTTAATTGTATTTAATATTGTGAATTGCCTTGAGTCTCCTTATTAGAAAAAAGTGGCCTATAAATAAGACAAATAATAAATAAGAATAAGGAGGAGGGCTGGCCGAACAACCCTTTAAGGACTGAACTCCCTCAGTGGCGATTACATCCTGCATCTGTTTGTGGGTGAACCCCACCTTTTCCGGCAGGACTTTAACACTCAAGACCGAGCCCCTGAATGCCTTTTTAAAGTTAAGAGAGTTTTTTTAAAATGTTTATTTGCTTTTAACTATTCCGCTGTATTTTAATTAGGGTACAGTTTAGTTGTCTTTTAAATGTGTAGCTTAGTACATTTTTAATTATATTTAATATTGTGAATTACCTTGAGTCTCCTTATTAGGAAAAAAAGTGTAAATGTGTAGCTTAGTACATTTTTAATTATATTTAATATTGTGAATTACCTTGAGTCTCCTTATTAGGAAAAAAAGTGCTATAAATAAGACAAATAATAAATAAGAATAAGGAGGAGGGCTGGCCGAACAACCCTTTAAGGACTGAACTCCCTCAGTGGCGATTATATCCTGCATCTGCTTGTGGGTGAACTGAAAAGTCTGTGTATGTGTGTGTGTGTGTATGTGTGTGTGTGTGAGAGAGAGACGGAAGGGACTATATCCTGAATGTGGGTGTGGCATTCTGAAAAGCCTGCAAATGCTATCATACTTCCGTCGAAGGCCGTGTCTTCTTGCAATTTTAAGCGCCAAGAGCCATCTAGTGGAAACTCAGATGCTTTGAAATTGAACAAGAAGTTACTCATCACACTGATACATAATTATGCACTCAAGTTACAGGAGGCCAGATTTAGGCTGAATATCAGGAAAAACTTCCTAACTGTTAGAGCAGGATGACGATGGAACAAATGACCTCGAGAGGTGGCGAGCACTCTTAACGCTGGAGGCCTCCAAGAGAAAACTGGACCACCCCCCTGTCCCATCAGCTTGGATTTAGATCCGGGCCTTGAGCAGGGGGTTGAATCAATGGCCTTCGAGGCCCCTCTCAACTCAATTATTCTATGATTATTATAATGCTGGTCTAAAGCGTGATGTCTGTAAGCTTCAAGAGCCACACAGGCATTGTACGTCTCCCAATTTGGGCATTATCTGCCTCTCCTCCCAGATTTTACACCCTCTTTACTTGATGAAGAAGTCTGCAGCAGAGGTGGCGAGCACTCTTAACGCTGGAGGCCTCCCAGAGAAAACTGGACCACCCTCTGTGTCCCATCAGCTTGGATTTAGATTCGGGCCTTGAGCAGGGGGTTGAATCAATGGCCTTCGAGGCCCCTCCCAACTCAATTATTCTATGATTATTCTAATGCTGGTCTAAATCATGATGTCTGTAAGCTTCAAGAACCACACAGGCATTGTACGTCTCCCAATTTGGGCATTATCTACCTCTCCCCCCAGATTTTACACCCTCTTTACTTAATGAAGTGCTCAGAAGCCTGCTTTGTATGTAACTTTTCTGCAGACCCATAAAGGGATTATCCAACTCCAAAAATTTTTCTCCCATGGATGGGTCACAAAGCAACCCTTTACCCTGTATTTTTTTTTAAAATAGAAAACAACACCCTGAAAAAGGAGCAGACTTTCAGGTGACTGGCAAACCTCTGTATTGCTGATAAACAATCCCTTAGGAAATGTGCAAGAAATAAGTA